GCCACATAGAGTTCTCAGCTGTCTATCTACTTGCCTGGAGCCTGTGTGTTTTTATGGATTGCATGCTCAGAGGCTTCAGAATTGAGGGGGAAAGGTGGAGTTTCAGAGCTGAAAGCACCTCTGAGACAGCGTCCTATGTCTTGACTTATATGCTGAGTCTCATGCCAGTTATTCTCTGGGAAGTCTATCACCAGATCTCTTTTTCTCTGTTCATCTTAATAAAGCTAGTTATAGCAGGTACAAAATTTAAAGTACAGCTTCTTAAGTGTTAGCCAAAACAGCTTCCTTGTGCACGTGCAGAGTGATGTGAAGCAACAGCACACCTCATCAGCTGGTGTAAATCTTTTTTTGCTGATTAAATCTGCATGTTGAGCTGCCCCAGCTGAGTCAACAAAATTGTGAAGGGCATGTTAAGACAGGGAACTTTTGGGTTTTTTCTTATTATTTATCATTTCTGCTGCCATGTTGCTTAAGACCTCCACCTTGCTTTGTGTCCTTTGCAATACAATGTGAAATCACAGTCTGCTCCAGCCACTGGTAGGAAACGTACTTCCTCACTCTGTCTGTAGTGATGCTGGGAGTAATATACAAGCATACAAGTAACTGTGGACTGCCAGTTTGTGCTTCCCTGTGTGTTGTGAGGAAAAGCTGGGTGACCAGTATTAGTCAGATAAATATCAGCTTACTCATTATAAACATTACTTCAGCTAAAATTGGGTTTGTTGGCCAGTTTTGCCTAGATGCCAAGTGATGATGCTGTATGAATAACAGCCCTGCCAGTGCAGTTGCAGTTAACCATTTCTGCCTGCTTTCTGCTTTCAGCTGTTCTGCTACAGCTGCTGTGGAGAGCCACAGGTTCCTACTGCAAGGTCTTGACATGCAGCTGCTTTGCTCAGGCCATGGCTGGGGAGGTGGGTGGTGGGCAGAAGAGGGGGTTAGGAATAACCTGCCCATTGTGATCTTTGGAGCCTTTATGTAAACACGACAGGAATGAAATCAACGTGGTTTTTTGTTTTTTTTTTTTTTTTTTTTTTCATTTGGAGACCTGTATAGCATCCAATCATAACATTCCTGGCTGGGCCATGCGCTCTGGTGCAGAAAGGCACTACAGTGTGGGGGATCAGGCCTGTGGATCTGAGTCAGTGCCTGCTTTGTGCATGGCTCCAGTGTTTTACATTAGCTGAACCAAGGGTGGATTTTTGCACTGTGACCATAAAGATGGAAAAAGGAGGAAAAAAAAAAAAAAAAAAAAGACAGTGATCGTGGGGAGCAAAATGGCTGGTATAGTAGCAGTGAACTGAAATAACAATATTTGTCTATCACTGGAATGATGGGGTCTTGGGTGTAATAGAAAGTGTTAATAAAAATAACCTCCTTTCTTCCTTGCTTTTGACTTTTAAAAAAAATGTGTTAACATGGAAACTGCTTAATCTGGAAAGAAGTAGTTTAATATTAGCAGCCTGCTTTGTTTTACTAAGTGACATTTTACTCATTTCTGTACTTACCAAGAAATTTGTCTATAACTGTTTATCTTGTAAGACAATGATGTGGTGACACACCATTTTTGTGAAATTTAAAGTTCTTATACTTGTGCAGTTCTTGCCTCAAGTGAGAATGTGGCTGTACGTTTTCTGTCTGTTTCGAGGATCTTCATTTCATTCCACTGGTGTCAGCACCTCTCTAAATTGGTGCCAAATCTACAGAGTATTGTGCAGAAGTGCCCTCTGGTGTTGGGGCACGTGCTTGCTTTCAGAAATCCGGGTCAAGAAGGCAGAAGCCACTTACTCTGCCTCAAAGTTGCTGATTCTTTGCATGCTGCAGGATCAGACTGTGCAGTCCTTTCACTGCTCATTATGCCACGTTGTTTAAGAAACATGACAACACTTACAACAGATGCTCTGCTCCTCATTGGTTCTGTTTTGATCTGAGGCATCTTGGTGATGGCTCCAGCACACAATTCTGTAGCTTCATCTTTTGCTGGTCCTGCCACTGTTGCAGATAGCTATAAATCTCACCCAAGCACTTTGTTCGTCAGAAAAAGCTCAGTGTAGGGTAGAAGTCTGCAGGTCTGTTCCTTCATTGCAATTACAACCACAGAGGAGAAAAATCACAGAATGGTTGAGATTGGCAAGGGTGCCACAGTCCATGTGATCCAAGTCGTGCTCAAGCAGGAACACTCAAAGCAGTATGGCCAGGATCATGCCCAAGTGCACTGACCTCCGGTTAGTCAAGAGGCACTGGAATGCTTACCTCTGCTGAGCAGCTGGGAACAAAGGCAGCATTCAAACTAGGGAGATGTGTATTTGAAGGAGAAAAACATGAAAGAATGAGAGAACTTTGGCTGAAGTTCTGTACTTTCTTAAGCTGGAAGTAGGTAGAGAGTGAGGAGCACAGTGGGCTTCATGGAAAAGAAGCTGAAAGGCTTACTTGGGTAGAATGTGAATGGTGAAGGCGGGGTACACTGCAGAAACAATTCCCTCCAGCAAAGACTGAAGTCCCTCATGTTTCTGTGTATAAGCAGAATTATTAGCATAACTTCCTACAGTGTTCATTCTAATACCTATTCTAACATTGCAGTAAATGTAGCAAGCTGTGCTATGTTTTGTGGAAGCTTAAACAGCGAGATTAGTAAAGGATGAACAAAGCCTTCCATTTCCCACTCCCCAAAGCAAAAATAAACAAATAATAATGATGGTTAATTAGGGAAAAAAATTATGTTCCATTTAGTGTTTAAATGTTAAATGGAACCTCACACAGAATCATGATTTGCTAACCACATATACAAATTGGAATTTTGTGATGTGAAATTACTGTGGTGCAGCCTTTGTTTTGAAATGTTCACAGAATTTCATTAGTGACATTGTTATGTACTTGAACTCTTTTATTTAGGATTGAGAAACAGTTGTTATTAGGATAAGTCCAATTTTCAGTTAGTGTTTTCTCTTCTAGACAGATTCTAATGTATTTTCTTTGCTCATGTTTGAGGAAAGCAAAATTTCAGTTGCCCTAACTGGAAAGTCTGCAGCTAGTAGCTCAGGAGTGCAGCTATTGGCATGTGCTCTTGAAAGCTTATTAAGAGAGAAGAGTTTTCTAGAATCATTACGTTTAATGAATAAAAACTTTCCTGGGATTTTATGCAAGTGGTAGATTGTCAAGAACTATATGAAATCTCTGAGAGATGTGAGAAACATATCACATGGCCTAAAATCAGAGCCACTCTTACAGAATTAGTTTGCTTTTCCTCTGGAGATTAACACATAGCAATTCTGGGCTAAATTTCAAGAAGAATGAACTCTAACCTGTGCGTTTTCCCTTTGGTTGTTTTTCTTAACCTGAAAACAATCTTATGAGTATATACAGTAAAATGCCAGGAAAAATAAAATGAAATTAAATAATCCATTTTCAAGCTTTGCAAACTACTATTTTCAGTTTGTAAAGAAATCTAAAAATAGCCCTTATGTTCAGCAGGTGCTTGAAGGCATGCTCAGGCCCAACTGGTGTACCATTAGCTGCACAGGGGTATTTTCTGCTGTAGCTTTATACCCTTGTAGAGCTGTTCCTGCCCTCTCAGATGTTCTTGTTCACAAATAGTGTTTGGAACCTCTTTTTAAGTTAGCAGATGTGCTTCTGTTTGCTTTATAGCATCCAGGAACTTCAATCTGCTGCTCTTCTCTCCTTCTGCCTCTGTCCAGGACAAATACTTTCTCTTAGTGCAAGCATGATTCACATTTACCACACAAATGTTCATTATTTCTTCTAATGTATCAAGTATGATACTTGTAGAAGAGCTGATTTTGTATTTACTAAAACATATAAAATGATATAAAAATGAAATATAACTGTGCATAATATCTATACAGATTTTAAATCTGTAAGAACAATAAAAGGAAGGCTTGAGGAAGTGCATTTCAAGATGCTGCTCTATTGAAGCTTGAACATACCAACTCGCATTAGCTAAAGGCTAACCAGTCAATGATACATACAATTTGAGTCCGATTTGAAGACTTTTATTGAGTGTATGATTGTACTAAGAAAAGATAAGTGTCTTAACATGCTAACACCATCCAAGGACTAAGAAATACAGCAAATGTGTGTGTGTTGTCAGCTGACTTATTTTATGTATTATTATATTATTATTATTATTTTATGAATGAGGACTCAGATTCTGGTGATCTTCAACATCTTGAATAGATAGGAAAAGAGAGTTTAGGATATTTTGATTGTCTAAATAATAAAAATGAAGGCAAAATTAATAAAACTCATCTGAAATCTTCCCTAACTGTGAGATTTCTCATCTGATGTAATCAAAAAAACATTTGTGAGGCTCACTCTGCTTTGACTCAATAATACGTATGTGCTTGTTAGCAAGATTTTTCTTTTGGGCAAGGAATATGATTCAAAAGGAATATTTGATACAGCTACGAGCAACTGTAAAAGCTTTACTGGATTTGAAATTGCTAAGTCCTCAATCTGTTTGCTTTTTCTTTTTCCTGCTCTTTGAATACAGAAACCTCTTTAACTTTCACTTTTTCATTAAAAACGATACTATCTTTTGTAGAGAATCCTGTTTGCTTGTACATAACAAATATTTGGCATTCTAAAAAGTATCTTTTACTGGGAGAACAGTGGGATTTCTTTCCCTACATTGGTCCAGACACTCAAGATACCACTCCTGGTTCTACAGACCCTTTTGCTTTAATAACAACAAAAGTTTACACCCCATTTGTTCCACTTGTGGCTTCTTGGGGAGCTGCTTGGGGAGCTATAGCATGAAGCAGGACTGTGAATTGCACAGGGAAAGGATATGCTCCTTGGCTTTATGTTCTCTCTGCAAAGCTCAATCTGAGTCTGAAATGTATAAACATGGTAAGCTGCAGTTGAAAATCGCTCAGGTCCTGTGCTCTCATTTTCTGCTGTCTTGAGTTAAGAACTTGCACTGTGGCAGGTACTTGACTTCAAACACCCGCTATAAGAGAGATACTTTCTGTCTTGGCCCGCAGGGGGATCACATGGATGCAAATCAGCCATGAGACCTCTCATCTGGAAGGATCTGTCATGGAGGTGTGTGGGGACAGTGTTTGCAAGTGGTTTAATCAGTGTAGCTGGCAGTGTGCCGGCTTTCCTACAAGGGGCTTGGGAGGGAGGGAGCTCTGCTTTTCACTTGGAACAATTAAAGCATCATTCTTGCATTCATTTCTGCTAAATATGCTTCCCTCTTGTTTTGATTAATTAGGGAATGCGTGCTATAGATTTTAACCTCTGAGCAACCCCTTCACTTTTGATATTGTGTTCTGCACAGGCATAAGGATGACTTCAAGTCTTTTTTTTTTTTTTGGGGGGGGGGGGGGGGGGGGGTTGATTCACTGGAAAGTACCGTGCTTGCAGAAGTGTTTCAAGTGAAGTGGCAGACCTTTCTGTGGTATTGCTGAGACTCTCTGTGCCAAAGGGGTTTTCTTATTCTCATGGAGGATTTTGCAGGAATTGTAGTAGGGACAAGCCTTCTTGCTCAGCAGCATGAGCTGTCCTGTTTGAAGTGGGGAGTCATCTAATGATGGAATTGTTTCACGGACTGCTGCAGATATATGCAAACACTGTATAACTCAAGAGATACTCTGTTCCAATAAAAAAAATGCCAATGCTGCAGGACTTAAGAATGTTATTTTCTGCCTTGAGCTAGAGTTAATTAAGAAGATAAAAACAGGAAGAAGATCAGCCTTTTTTTCTTTTTGGAGAGCTTATTGAAATAAATTTTATTTTCTTTCTATTTCTTTTTTTAATCTAAATCCCTTTCAGTCATGGTTAAGTGTGTTAAGCACGGAACGTGGTATGTGAACAGCAGAACATGTAATTTCTTTTTCTGATAACTTGTGAGAAAGGCTTTTGATTCTGGAGATTGTCTTCAACGTGTTGGCTGCAGTAAAATTGAATGCAAAAAATAGCTGGTCATATTTTGTATATAATTAGCCAGTTCTAGTAGACTCCTTAAATCAAATAGATTGCGTTCCCTAAATGGAACAGTTTCTAGTAGCTCTAGAATCAGAATGGGAAGGTTTTTTAAAAATAAAAAAAATTCAAACATGCATTAGAAAAATCCACTTGTGCCAAATTTTCAGCGCGTTTTGTGTGCCCTTAAATCCCTTGACACCAATAATATAGAAGTCAGTTAATCCTTTGTTGTGCAGTGTGCCAGAACAGAGTATTAACTTCAGTGTAGAAAAGTTGAGGTTTCATCATTTGCAGACAAGAAGAAAAAGCAGCTTTCTTTTTTATTTTGGTCCTTTCAGTTTGAGGCTAAAACTTGTAAACAATTTTTTAAAAGTTATTTTTTTTAAAATAAATTAACAGTCAAATCTATTATATTTGGACATTTCTGCATTTTTCACTTTCTATGCAACTAAGAGGCAGAATGTGTAATGGTGGCAGTTGTTACTGATAGGAAGACTCACATTTTTGTTTGAGATGTCCGTTATCTTCACTCTGTTTTAGATCTTTATGTTTTGTTTTCTCATAAAAGCATCCACCTTTTTATTTTATCATTCATTTTCGGCAACTTTTGCACTGGGAACTGTATATTTTGGTGCAAACATCATAATCCATGCATTTAAAGTGATGAATTTTGTTAAATCAACATTTAGGAAAGAGTTACTCTAAGCAGGAGGTCCTATTTAATATGTGAGTTATAAACTGGGAGGTCTCCTTAATGGTCCAAATATTTCTTAAGCATATTTAATCCATAAGATTAAAAGGTGAAAATGAATTCTTTGTACAGTGCTGAAATTTGAGAGTACAGCCGTGGAGTGAGATTATCCAGAATTCTGGCAGTCCTGTGGATTCAACAGTAGACTTTTTGTAAAACCTTTATACAGTTCTTTCTTTATCTTAAATGCTTCCTTGTGAGATATTTTAATTTTCATTATGTTTTGCTGCTTATGATTTATACCGAAGTAGACAACATCTATCTGATGTTTTGGACCAGAAAACTTTTCTAGTGATGATATGCTGAAGGAACGCTCTCCCATGTGCCCATCTGGAGGAGAAATACTGACAGACTAGGATTTGTGTGGACTGCAGTAATGGTGAGTGAGCATCTGACACAAAGTACTCAGGAAGACAGTGAATGATTTTCTAGAGTGGACTTCTTAATAAGAAGAAAATATAGGACAAGGACCTTTTCAGTATCTTGTAATCCTTGGATTTCCTATAGCTGATTAAGATGGTTTTTGTAGGACTGTATTCAAAATCAGAGCTTTTATGCGATATCTTTGTCACCTGTGTCGCTTGCTCTGAATTCTTCACTGATGTATACTGTGCTTCGTTTGCTGCTTCTTTTTTTCTTAGATTAATCCTTTTTTAACACTGCTTTCTCCTGTTGGTAGTCCTGACCAAAACACCTTTATCATCTCCTGTTTTGTGCAGACTGTTGACCAAGTTCATAGAGAAATCTTTGAATTTTTTTGTGATGAAACAAATTGTTTTCCATGCGAACTACAAGACTGTGAGGTGCTATATATATGTGAAGAGTAGGTTGTCATTGAATTCAGGAACTGAGAAGGAATATTTCATCTGCTAAGTATGTATAAAAGTGGTAATTAAACAAGAGCAATAACTACTCACTAGCAGAAAAGATGAGAGCAGTTAATCAAGCTCATCTTTCACAGCAAGTGTAAATACGGGCCATGAAGGAAAGGCTATGTACTGCCTTTTCAGTAAAGGTTGTGTTGTTGTTATGTGAATGATTGATATGTTCCAGTCACCTAAGTTATTAAAAATCAAAACCAATTTTCAAGATATTGAGCAGGCGATTTCTTCCCATAGTATTGGAATATCAGATGTTATCAAGTTCATTGGAGTGTATTTGGGTTTCATAATGAATATTCTCTCTCCTCATAGACTTTCTTCATTACTGGTACTAGTAGTAGACTCTGCTGTGCCACACCATCTAAAAGGGATTTACTATTTTATTTTGCACAGGGCAAAGGTTCCAAATGTGAATGCAGCTTCATTGACACTGCAGCTTTTCTATATATATATTTTTGCAGGAATGTGTTATTAGTTCTGTCAGTTAGTGACAAGGATGTTACTCTTGCCTAGAAGGTGAGCTCTTGGTGTAATCTCAGAAAGCAGCCTTTCCAGCTCCTGTTGTGAGCAGTAGTGTTGAACAAGCAGAGAAGCACAACAAGCTTTATTTTGTTCAGATGCTTGCCTGGCAAACTTCTTATCCTCTGTGTGATCCAGCAGGGTTTGTACAAACTTAGGCAGATCCAGTATATTTTTGAAGCAAGGGGAAGTAGTGAAGTGCTATGACAACTCTGTTCTGACCTTTCTCCTCAATCTATCCATGTGATTTGTTCCTTCAACTAAATTTTGTAGGTTATGCAATATTTTCTTCTTGATTTTCTATCCAGCACAGGCTGTCCTGCCTCTTTATGTTGTTACTCATATTCCAATCCATTTGTGAGGCCCTCCCCTGGTTGGTTTGTTTTCTCAGCAGTGTTTCTTTCCAATCTCTATTTCCAGTCCTAGAGTATAAAAACGAATTGAGTAAACTCTCCTTTCAGTACTTGCTCATTTGCAAAGGTAATCCACTTTGCCTGAGACATGCTTGCTTTTGCATAGCATATGATTAAATTTGACTCCAATATCTTGCCTGAGATCAATTGCTCATTTTAGCTTTTTTTTTCTTTTCTTTTTTTTTTATTCCTTCCTTCCCCTAAGCATCTTGGGGATTTTTGTTGTTGATTTTTCTTTGGCTTCATATCACTCATGCGCTACCAAAGTAAACTTGACATTCAAGTAGGATAATGTTATCAGTTTCAGGTTGTACTGTACTGGATACATACTACTTTATTCTCCTGTCAGCAAATTAGGCAGTCTGTACTCATGCAAGACAATACAGTAAGCAAAATAGAAGAATGGTGTGCCTTTTTTGTGTTTATCTGTGTTAATAAAACCTTTTTATTGGTGAGGCAATGGTTAGATTTCTTTTGTAAAGAGTATCTATGTTTCAGCTCAGTGTTGAATACTGCTGAGCTGATACATGTTCTTGCAGAGCCTTGATACAGCTGTCAGTAGTAGACATTGGTTCTGTATTGGTCTTGACTCTAAGATCAGCCAGTCTTTTGAATGTGTGAATATTAGTTATTTTCAGCATGAATTTTAAATCTCAATTTTGGTTAGTACAAATGCCTCACAAATATTGATGTACAATACTTTTAAGTCCTTAATTGAATTTGTTATACTCAGTAAACAAAACCTACTTTGTTTCACTAGATATACTGTCTGTAAATCCATGCTGTCTGGCATTAATTTAATAACTGTTTTTGCTTATATATTAATTGAATCCTCTGAAAATGCTTTCTTGGTCTGGATGTCAAATTACAGATGGCCTGAAAGTTAGGTGGGCTTCCTTTTCAAATTGACATAATTATTAATTTAAGGGTTTTTTTTTTGGTATTATAGGCCTTATCTTTCCTGCACTGGTAGCTTTTTATCTCTTTACCCAAACCTTTTAGGATTTATGCTATGATTTATTGAGTGCAAAGTGGTACCTCACCTTACTCTCGTGGGAATCATACCAGTAGCAGTAACAAAACTTGAGAGAACACAGAAATAAATACCAACAAAAGTGTTTTATTTCTTGAAAGAATACATGACTACTTTCTTCTTTTGAACTGTCATTTTTTCCAGGCACTGAGCACCAACCATGAATACTAATAACTAAATAATTTTCTAGAATATGATCTGGTTTTGGCATTGCAGACCAAGTCCAGTGATGCCTTAGGTAGTGGTATGCTGACACTAATCAGATTCATAAAGCAGGTGTGAAAGATGCAGTTGGATATGCAAGAGGAGTTGAACTGACAAGGCTTGGGGGCAGAAAAAAGTTTAAGCTAACATGCTAATGGGACTTTTTACTGGTATTGTACTGTTCTAGCCAGTATTGTCTGAGTATACAAAGAAGCAAGGCTTGCAGGAAGAAGTAATATAACTTGTTTTTGCTCTTCTTTTCCAGTTAAATTGGTGGATATTGAGCATATCTGCTGCCTTTTAAAAACCTATTC